TAATATCAGGTTACCCTCAAATTTTTCCCTACTGATTTAGCTCTGAGTGCTGACAAATGTATGAATGGATTTTGTTCACATCCACTTACATGAAACTAACTCAGGCAAAACGGTATCTGTTTAGTTTATCTGATAACCCATATTGCTAAGCACAAAGCAGAGACTAAAGAAATATCTGTTACCTGCACAAATGCATGTGTAAATGTAAGAATGATTACTTGCTCACCTAACCTTCACGGTGGGGAAGTTCAGGTTTGTGAAGCTATTGTGAAACACAGGAAGAATGTACTGTTAGATAGTACTCATATAGAAGGGCTCCTAAGACACACTGAGGTTTTGTTTTCAAATGAGTGTTATAACATGATTTAATCTTAAGTCAGGATCACATGGACCTAAGAGAATTATGCATATTAAATATCCATCTGTACAACTATAATAGTTCTCAAAATCAACAGGGGTGCTTTTGAGAAACATAGATTCTCAGATCCTACTCCAGGTATGCTGAATTAGAAAGTCCAAGTCTTGAGTACAGTAATTTCCAAGAAGCACCATAGATGATTCTCATGGTTCCAGCCTCACACAGGTCTTCCTATTGGCATTTTGGAAATTATTGTTCAAAGGAACCTAGAATGGCATGTGTAAAGCTTTTCCCCAGTATGCACCACAATGGTGTGTATGCTTTTTGTCTTTTTGAGAAACATTTCAAAATCACAGAAAATATGTATCAACCACTAAAGTCATACCTAAGATTTTGCTTACATGTGGTTCATTTTTAAAAAGAAATTTAAATGGCATGGAGATGAATGAACCCTTTCACTGTTTCCCCCATCCCTCTGTCATTCTCCTAGCAGTAACAGCTGTTCTGGTATGTAACATTTGTCAGTGCCCTTCAGCCAAAGACCACCAGGGATACACCTGTAGTTGAACATGCTGGGTTTATTACTTGTTGCAGATAAAGAAAATGCACCATAAGAAATGGAGGGATAGCTCAGTAAGGCTGCTAGGAATAACTGATTAGGATTTAGGTTTTGGTTGGGTAATTTTGGGAAGGGTCTAAAGAAGCAGGGGATTGCTCTGGATTATGTGTTGTCAGCATGTGGGGACAATTCTATGTTTGGGTGTCTCAATAAATCTTACCCAAAGGAAGGACAGCCTAGATGAGTATAAAGCTGTAATTGGTAAGGAAGTCGCCATTCATTTAGCAAGATGGGGGATATTTGGTCATTTGTGAGATGTACTTATGTGAAGTGGATGCTCTGTGGGATCATTTATGTCCATTAGTAGAACAACATGGCTTAGTCAGATTAGTTTGTAATAACATTGAGGTGTAGATGTGTCAGAACAGTTCCCAGATGCTTTGGGCTGCTTTTCTTTTTCTCATCATGTACATTTTTCCAATTTTATTACATATATATGAAACCACACAACCCCCTCTACTCATATATTCAGACTGTTGTTTGTGTCCTTCAGATATTTTGATCACTGTATCATACTTTGACAACTCCCCTCCTCCCCCTACTGGATACTGTTTTTTGGAATTGAACCATATTGATTCTTGATGTAGATCTAGTTCATTTCCTTCTTCCTTTCCATTCTCATCTCCCCCACCCCTGTCCCACCCCCAGCTCCCTCTATCTTCCTTCTCTCTATCTCTGAGACTTACAAATGGTGCTGGATTAAATGACCCTGTTCAGGTGTCTTTAAATACCTATGCAAGAGTTTCTCTAGAGTAGGCACCTAGACATGATACATATATTCAACTCTACTAAGTATTGTCAAATACTCTCTGAAGCGGTAACATCAATTTTCCCTTCCATTAGCAATTTATAAAGCGACCAGTTTTGCAAGACACCCTCCCTAGCATCTGGAAGGTTATCATACTTTTTTATACTCTGGGCCTAGGTAGCTTCTAGAACTGACAGGAAGACAAAGCTCAAGGATGAACAGATTCTTCCCCTTTCCCACCTTCCCCTCCCCCGACAAAGGTTCTGAAATACCTAAGCTGCCTAGCTGAATCCTTGAGAATTCTTTTTTTTCTCTTCTTCCTCAACTCTTCTTGGCTACCTCTTATAGTTTTGGAATTGATCACCTGAATGGAGAAATGATTCTCTTGTATATATTTCTTTGTGTTGTGTTATGAGGGTACACTAGGTGCTGTAATAGACTTTAAAATATATATATAGATTGAGTAATATGGGTTTTTTTTCTTGCTCATTTAAAGCATGGGTGAACAAGTTCGAGTGGAGGCCCCCTCTACTCATATAGGCAGGCCCCAAACCAATATAGGCTTCCCTAACTTCAGTATACAACTTTCAAGTTTGTGCTGGGGGTTATCTTTATTCCAGCCAGCCAGAAGGAGAAAAACGTGTAGAGGAGCATGTGTGGGAAGTTTATAATTAGTTAGTCCCGGAAGGGGTATGCATCACTCCCTTTCATGTTCGGGGTCAAGACTCGACCCTGTGGCCAACCTCAACTGCAAGGGAGGCCAGGAAATATAGTCAAGTTGTGTGACTAGAAGAGGAGAACATGAATTTGGACATTTAGCAATTCTCTGCTGCAACTGGGTTATATTGAAGTGAGGTTATCCTGAAGACACCTTTTAGGATAAGCTATAGGAATCACCCTAAAAACAAGCAGGAAGGACCCTTGAAGGTCTTAAGCTGGACATGAGTGAACTAAATCTAAACCAAGTCTGAGTTATTGGTAATCCTTTCATCAGTTCTGTGGAGAATAAAGGAAGGAGTCCTCTATTGACGCTTGGGTTAGAGTGATAAAGCAAAACAGGATCATCCCCTCAATAGGTGGCAAAGTCCCAGGATGACAAAGGGCAAGAAACTCCAAGGGAAAAGTGACTCAGTGCTGCAGTCCGGGGTTCTTAGTCTTGTTGGACGTCCCACCGGGAAATTCTACTTTTGCCCTCAAGGAGGTTGTGTATTTTATTTTTATTAAATATGACCACGGTTGCCTACAAGGATCCCAATTCAGTTTAGCCAATATATGGAAATTAGAGTATATACCTAGGCACTGTACTAATAGTAGAGAAATACCAGTTAGTTTAGTAGCTTGGAACTTGGCTTGTTTGTGTAGTTAATCTTGGGGAATAATCCACATTCTGCACAGACCCATACTTGTATTCCTGTGACCATCGTTATGATTTAGTCCTGTGGCGTAAGTGGGGCAGTGATCATTGGCAGAAGGGCCGTGGCTAGTGGTTGGCTCCACAGTTAAGAAGCAACCGTCAGCACACAGTGCAGGGCTGCCAGTCAACTTGGCCTGAAGTTCCTTCCTTGTTTTATCATGGTGTTTCTTTTTCACTGCATTTCCTATGTCTGAACTCAGCTAAGGATATTCAGGAATCTCATCCCAACTTCTGGCAACTCTCTTCTTTTAGCACTTTTGACTGATGACTTCATAAAGCCCCAGACAGTGGGGCAGCTTCCAGCTCTGCGACTTCATTAGTCTCCTTGTCTACTCTGGGCAAGATAAGCAATCCTAGACAAATGGAGAGGGTGTTTGTCTCAACTGCTGAAACCTAATGTTTCTCAGGGTTATGTACATCGCTTAACTTTTTGCTCTTCCTTTCCTAACTCAAGCTTCTGACCTTGTTCAAACGCCATGTTCTATCTAAGTAATTATTTGAAGTGATGTGGGCATCTCTGTTTAATTTTGAATTCCTTGTTTTGATTTTACCTCCACTGGATACCATTTATTTTTACCAGACCAGTTGTGTTTCCTTTGATGCCCACATCCTAAGTGCTTGATGAATTGGATCCTAGCAGTAGGACTAAAATATTAGGGGGGAGAAGAGGGATAACTGAGGGAAGGAGGCAGGCAGAGAGCAGGCTGCAAGGAGCTGATGCGATATAAATTAGGCCTCCATGAGGTATTTGGTTGTGAATGTGAAATAAAGTGGTAAAAATCCCACAAATTACAAGAGGAAAGGACAAAGGAATAGAGATCAATGGTAGGCAGCATGGGAAAGTCATTGAAGTAAGGGCTAGGAAACAATTCTAGTGTGCTCTGCTTGACATAGAGGAGAGGAGAAATTGGGGTGATTGGGTTTTTTTTCTTTTTAAAAAATATTTTGAGAGAGAGGGCACGGGGAGGGAGAAAGGGGGAGGGACAGAGAGAATCTCAAGCAGACTCCCCGCTGAGTGTAGAGCCTGACTCAGGGATCGATCTCATGACCCTAAGATCATGACCTGAGCCAAAACCGAGTCAGACGCTTAACTGACTGAGCCACCCAGGCGCCCCCAGTGGTTTGAGTTTTTAAGGGAAAATCAAAGAACTTCTTATTAGAACTGAGGATATTTCTAGGCCAATCTTTCTGAGCTAAAAAGAGATGTCAGAAATGCAGGCCAGACCAGCAGCACGTCTTAACTTCCATGGGAGGTACAAATCAAATGCGAAGGTGTGTGGGTCTGTCTATCTGTGTGGAGAGAGAAGGCCCATTGCTGCTTTTAGAATCCCAAAGGGGAGGTGGTCCATGATCCATATGTGGTAAAGAATTACTGCATTGGAGGGGCTATGTATCCTGAGAGCAGTCAAAGCCATGAGGGAAATGAGAGGAGAAAGTAGGTGAAGGGCCATGTGAAACCAGTGTGGAATGACAGTCACAGGGGACCCAGTGTAACACAGTTCTGTCGTGAAGTCTGAGTGTCAAGCTTTAAATGCTCAAAAGGGAAGTTAGGACCCCACACTGTGGAATCTGAGAGAGCATTTATCTCCATGTCAAACTACACAAAGTAGACAATATGAAATCATAGATTCACATTCCACAAACAATTTTATATTTTTCAGACTAATGTTCTTCAAGAATGTGGTCTTGCAATAGCATTTTGTTTTGGTCTTCTACGCTACCTTGTTCTCAACTCACCTTTTGTTCTACTCAGGAGATTTTCAGTCATCACCCAATAAAAGTCTAGGCTAGTATCCAAAGGCACAATAAATAATATTTCTATTTTCATGAAGGCACTAACACGTATTTGTGTTCCTGCTAGCAAAACTGCTGAGTTCCTGAGCAGACTGGACGCAGAGTTTCCAGACAGAAGTACCCGTCAAATTGCTCTTCGTGACCCACAGTCTTCAGCTTGGGTAAGTGGAATGCCATGCAGGGTTGCCATCTGGTACTTTATAAAGAGGCATTTAGTGAATGAAGACTAAGGGCATAGAGTGTCCTTATATTGTTGATTGTTGGGACTAAAGGCAGATGACCTGATCTGAAACTTTGACTTCAACTGTTGCTTCCTTCAGCTATAAAATAATGCTGTACTTGTTATCTACATTATGGGCACCTTTCAGCCTCTGAAAAGCCTTTGATCTCACCTAGTCATCCATCTATTTTTCTATCCTTCAAATTTTTATGTTTGCATAAGGTCTATCAAGTGCATACAGTTTCTGCCTGGAAGGACTTTAGTTAAGTGAAGGAGGAAACCATAGCTATAAAGTGAACAGGTGAGCGTAGAGCATATAACAATTAGAAAGTTAAAGCTTAAAGGATGAGTCAGTAACATGAAGAGTCATTCTGGGTGTCAGGAATTAGAACATAGAAGCAAGAATTAAGGTATAATGGCAAGAAAATGCACAGCTTGTGTTAGGGAACAAAAGTTGTGTAGCTCACTCTTCTAGAGAAGGATGCAAGAACCATGAGGGGCAATTTGGGTGGGGTAGTTCATCGTGTAGGCTGTCTTGGGTTCTGCAGGATGCGTAGCAACCCTGACCCCTGGGCACAAAATGCTAGTAGCATCCCCCAGACATCAAGACTTCCAGAAATGCGTCACACGTGGAGCTCGTGGTGCTCCCGGCAGAACACTGCAGAAATTTGTATGATGATTGGAGAACTTGGACCTCATTCTGTGAGTGCTGAAGGTACTAAACATTTTTAGGGAAGGTTCAAGGTCAGATTTGTATTTTAGCAGAATCACACTGGTAACCATGTGAAGGATGGCTCTAAAGGATTAGAGAGGCAGAGAGGCCTCTAAGAGGCTCTGTGTTAATCCAGGTGAGGAATGAGGAAAGCATGAAGTAGGGCAGTGGGTAGGAGGGTGGAAATGAGAGCACAGGTCAGAGAACCACTTAGAAGGTGAAATTGGCAGGGCCTTGGTTATTGACTAGCTAACTGGGGACAAGAAAGTAAGTGTAATTAAGGATGCCTCTGGGAAAGGGTTGTAGTTGAAAGAAAAGATGGGTTTAAGTTTTCAAGAGTGTTCACTTTTCCAGAGTTTGGGTAGGTAAATTAAGATGTTAGAGAAACCTGATCTTCATTTCCTTCATCCCCCTTTCTCTTTAGTGATCATGTTTTAAAATGTCAAGAACACATGATGACACTCCTTGGGAAAAGGTCCTTATGCTCTTACAAAATTTTAAAAGTTCCTTATTTTTTTGGTCCACTTCTAATGTGTTCCAAAGTCTAGATTTGCCACAGGTCCTGTCATATCTGTTATCTCTTCCCTCACTGTAGGGCACTAGAGGAATGAGAAGCTGTAGGTAGTAGAGCTAAATCCCGTGTAGGGACAGTACTTGACGTCTATCCAGATACCCTGTGGCTGTGAGGGAGGGGAGGAAAGACAGGAATTGGATAGCATTATCAACTGGGTGCTTGGCTGCCAGGATGGGCTTGATTTTGCTTGAGGGCTTCCTGAATCCTATGGTCTGAAACACCTGGCAGAACTGTGTGTGCCTGCTCAATTGATTTTTGGCTCGTTTCTTCAATTTAACAAGATCATCCTGAATTTTAATATTGTTGTCCAAAACATGAGTCATTTCTCCCAGAGCTGTGTTTTCTGTGGATTGATTATTGCATTAGTCACACGATCCTCAGAGCTATTAATAGAAAATAAGGGGCAGCATTGCACCCAGGATGGTTCTTGATGAGCTGCATTCAATAGCTGCTCCCCTTTCAACACCAAACTTATTAACAATTTGTTGGTGTTCAATATACTTAAGTGACTTTTTTTTTTACCCATATTGTACTCTTCTCATTCTGTCTAATCCATATGCATAGAATGGCTCTGAGAATGCTCTGCAGAACCATTTCTGACGCTTTAGGAACGTCCCACATATACAGGGCACTTTTTGTGATGTGGAAAGAAGACACTAGCAGTTTGCCTCAATTATTATCAACGTATGGAATGTGAACACTGTGTGGTACCCATTTATATGGGTTGTGATGAGCTGCAAGGCTTCAAGTTAAAAAAAAAACAACAATTTTAACATAATGCAACTTTTCTGAGAAAATTGTTCTTATCACCCCACTTATTTAAATGTGGATTTTCCATGGGCAGATGGGAATTTAATAAATACTATGCAATTCCATCAAGACTACAAGAAAATTCCTTTAAGTGATACATAAGAGAACTTCAGACAAAAGATGCAGTGTTTACTTACACATGGATTGATAGAGTTCTCTGTAGTGTGTGTGTGTGTGTGTGTGTGTGTGTGTAGTCAGAAGTCCCAGCATCATCATGCCTTCCCTAATCATTAACACTGAATATTTCTGGTTATACACTAAATGGTTTCCAGTCCACTTTGTTGCTTCTTGCCTCCTCTTCTACAGAGAAGAATAATGTAAAAAATCTCATTCTGTGGTTCCACTGCCCAGTGGCTCCCTGTATCTTCAAAGATAAAGTCAAAATGCTTTAGCTTAAGCACAAAGCCCTTTCTGCCCTCTGCCCTCCTCCCTCCCTGCATGATACCTTTCTCTACATAGACTCTAGGTCTCTGCCACTCCAAGTATGGGGTCTGTGGACCAGTAATACAGGCATCACCTGGGAGCCTATAGAGGTATAGACGAATCTCAGGCTCCACTCCAGACCTGAATAGGAAACTGCATTTTAACACAGTCTGTGGTCACGTGTGTACACATTAATGTTTGGGGGGCGCTGCTCCCTTCATGCCTTTCCAGCCATTTCCTCTCACTTCCGCTCCTTAGAAGCCCTAGTGCAGTTTGGTTTAACTTTTATCCATGTGCCACATGTTTTTAAAAAGTCAACAGGGTGATGGGTATTAAGGAGGGCATGTGTTGTGATGTGCACTGGGTGTTATAGGAATCATTGAACACTATATCAAAAACTAATGATGTACTAGGCAGTGGCTAACTGAACATAATAAAACAAAGTCAGCACTTAAAGAAATACCTGTGTCCCTTGCACCCTTTCCACCTCTTTCCCACTCCCAATATTTTAAACTCCTTGCATTAATTTCCCATTACTTCTAAAATAAGTCCTGGGGATGTAAGGCCCAGCATGTGACTCTAGTTAACAACACTGGACTGTGTATTTGAAAGTTGCTAAGAGAGATCTTAAAAGTTCTAGTCACAAGGAAAACATTTTGTAACTATGTATGGTGACAGATATTAACTAGGCTTATTGAGGTGATTTTGCAATATACACAAACATTGAATCGTTATGTTGTACACGTGAAACTAATACAATGTTATGTCAGTTATGCCTCTATAAAAAAAACTTCCCGTTGCTGCTGTAACAAATTACTGCAAACTTAGTGGCTTAAGATGCACAGATTTGTTCCATTACAGATGTGGAGGTCAGAAGTCAGCATTGAGTATGAAGGGGCTAAAATCAGGGTGTCAGCAGGGCTGGCTTCTCCTGGAGGCACAAGGTGGGGGGTGGGGGGATCCGTTCCTTGCCTCTTCTAGCTTCCCTTTGGCTGCCAACACTCTGGCCCCTCAGCATGTGGCTGCATCTACCCTCTGCTTTCATCCTCACATCACTTCCCTTTGACTTTCTTGCCTTCCATCTGTAAGGACCCTTGTGATTACATTGGGCTCACCTGGATCATCCAGGATCCTCTTCTATCTCAGAAGCCTCAATTTCAGCAAAGTCCCTTTTGCTATGTAAGGTGACATTCACAGCTTCCAGGCATTGAGACGTGGACATCTTTGGGGGGCCATTATTCTTCCCACCACACTCTCCTAGCTGTTTGTTATCTGGATTCATCTACCCAATGTATATATTGCTATTGCTTGACTAATCAAGTTTAGATTTTGTTAATTTATTCCTTCCTCTCCATTCTCCTAATATAAAACTCTTCAGTATTTCATGCTTTCTCTTACTATGACTACATAAATTTTTTCTCACTGCCAAGCTAGTTAGTATACTTTACATTTTCTTTCTTTTACAACTTTTCAAAAATTTTGCTAACATTGGCTTGGCTTCCTCTGAACATTTATTTGAATGCCTTCCTTCAGATTTTGTGACTGTTCCACCAAGTGTTTCTGATGCAAATTTCCACAAAATTTTCCATTTTGTGCCTGTGAGAAAGCTTGTCAGTTTCGGGTTCCTTTCCCTCCTGGAAACAGCCCTCTTGCAGCAGTCTTCTGCCTTAACCGGGGCTGGTTGTTCATTTGGCCTCCTACACAGCTGTTATTTTGGGAGTTTCCTTTCACTGAATGGTTCTCAACCTCATCTACACATGGGAATCACCTGGGGCGTTTTAAAATTCACTGATGCCTGGGTCTTCCCCTCAGAGATCCTGTTGTATTGTGGCCTGGGCTCTAAGGCTTTTAAAACTGCCCAGGTAATTCTAATGTGCAGCCTAGGATGAGGCTCGCTGTTTTAAGGTCATCTGGGGAATTGCTCTTATTTGTTTTCCTATGTTGGGTCCCCTGATTTCTGGGTCTCCTATCTTCTATGTTCTTGTTTTATTTCTTTGTTTTGATGGAGCGTATTATTTAGTGGCTTCCCAAGAGAAGATGCATGCTCAGGTCATTGCATATCTGAAACTATCTTTATTGAGCCCTCACACTTAGCTTGTAATTTTCTAATAAGTATTCCAAATTAGAAATAATTTTCCTTCAGAATTCTGAAGGCATTGCTATTCTACCTTTGAGTGTTGGTTCCTGAGAAATCCAAAGCAATCTGAATTTCATTACTTATACATAAGGGTTTTATCCCGCTTCCCCTGAAAATGTTTTAATATCTCCTTTTTTTCCCCCTGGTATTCTGTAATTTTGTAATAATGTACCCTAGTATGAGGGTCATTTATATTCATTTTCAGTCTGGAAACTCATTTCTGGTTCTAGGTGATTTTCTTGTGTTATTTCTTTGATTTATTTCCCTTCATTTTCTCTAAGGAAT